CCTTCCTTCCCTCCTTCCTTCCTCCCTTCCTTCCTTCCTTCCTTCCTTCCTTGTGGCCCTTAACTCAGCTGCCCCTCCAGACCGTTTCCCAGCCGTGAACAGCCTCATCCAGCGGATCAACCTGCGGAAGCGACGCGACACCCTCATCCTGGGGGGCGTGATCAGCATTTGCACCATCCTCCTCCTCCTCTACGCTTTCCATTGACGGAGGACGCACAGAGTGTGACTTCTGGGACCATGTTCTGGGCGCCTGCGAAGGGGCAGGCAGACCGCTGCGGGACACCCCACCCCACCCCTCAATCTGGGGACGCGGAGACCAAGTGACTTAGACAGGTGGACTCTCTTCCTCCTTCCTCCACAGATGGCCACGACGGTTCCCGAAGGTTCATCCCTCGTCCTGTCCTCCCACGTTTAAGGACACGGATCCCTTCTTCCCGTTAAATGTCCTTTGTCCCTTTTCTACCATTTTGCTCTCGTCTAAAGTTAAGACCTGGCTCCCCCCCCCCCCCCCCAAATTCAGCTGTTGTGTTTTTCTTCCAAAGGAGATCATTCCCCTTTTCCTACCTAACCAGTCTCCCCGAGAAAGCCCTCTCCGATATTTAACACAACTTCGCCCAGACTTTGCAACTTTAAAACTTTGCAACTTTAAAACTTTGGTTGGAGATCTGAGAACTGAACCCTGGAGAGAAATTCTTCGCCAGATTTTTTTGATCCTCGGGAGCCGGGATGGTAAGTATCCCACCGTTTTGGAGAAGACAACTTCCTTCTGGTCTCTCTTTCACAACATCGAGAACGACCAAAACGCACCACCGGTTCACCGAGGCCGGGAAAATGTCCAAAAACGACGAGACTTTTCAACGTGGAGAACATTCGTGAGACAGACCCCCTCCGTGGAGACTTTTCACCCAACTGGAAGCGCCAGTCAATATTTTACAGATCTTGCTGGAAAACCAGCGAGCGATTTTCTTTTCTCCCCGAACAGCGATGGGGATTAAAAGAGAGCGAGTGGCATTTTGGTATCCGAATCGTCGAACCGGGTAATTTGACCAAAAGGAGTTTCCCGCAAGTCCTCGGCTTGTATGTCCAATTTCGGTTTTGGTTCCCGTCTTAAAAAAAGACACCAGACGTCACCCCCGCCCCCCCCCCCCCCCCCACCCTTGCTTCGAAACAAAAATAAAATTAAAAAAAAAGAAAAGAGAGAGATGTCTATTGCATACTGCTCTTGGACCTTCCGATGCAGAAATCAAGAAATTTTGACTTTTTATCGGCAACTCGAGCCAGCCCAAGATTCGCCTCTTCCTCCGTTGTCGTATGCAGACGACAATTCCCAGTTATTAGCTTAGCCAGTGAGGATCATGGGATTTGGAGTCCCCATGGATTCAAGGCTGGGAAGAGTGATTTAGAGAGCCTGGTTCTCACCTCCATTCCTACATGGTGACATCATGGGCAAGTATGGCGCCTTTTACAACTTGTGGACTTCAACTCCCAGAATTCCTGAGCCAGCCAAATATGGCTGGCTCAGGAATTCTGGGAGTTGAAGTCCAGAGGTTGTAAAAGGCGCCATACTTGCCCATTCCTGCATTAAACGCTAATATACAATGTTGGGGTTTTTTTTTTAAATTTCAAATAGATTCTAGAAATTAGCCACTCTACCATAAAAGACCAGCGTGGCCTCAACTTCTTAAATTAATAATCTATTCCTTCCCTTTTCTGGTTCGCAAGACTTGTTTAATCCTGTTAACGCTTTGAATTGAATAAAAACGGCAAAGGTAGTTTTTGGCTGCAAGAGAGATTGCTCGAGGTTAGAGAAGGCTTCCTTTTGCAAATAAACTCTTTTATTTTGTCCCTTCCAGAATAGGAAAAAGCAAAAAAAAGATTCAGAGGTTTTATCGAATGCATTAAAACGAGAGCTCCGTGTTAAGGAACCTGCTGTTGGGAGTTTTTTTTTATTTTATTCTGGTTTTTAATTTTGTCTTTCTTCTCCGCCTATTAGCGGTTTCTGTTCTGCTGAGATAGGGGAAAGGGTTATCTTGATTAATAAATTAATAAATAAATAAGATCCAGTTGCATTATCTAGCTAACAAAAAAAATGAAAAAAAGGCACTATCTCTGAATAAAACATTTCTTTAATTCTAGGATTCTCGTTTCTTCATTTGCTTTTTTTTTTTCGTTCCGGGTTTGTTTTGGTGGAAGGTGTAAAACTAATTTGGGAGATGCTAAAAAAAAAATCACACGTAAAAGGCACAATCTAGGATTGAGTTTGCTTAGCACGTAACACTAAACTACGATTGATGTGTTGGGGTTGACAGTAGAGGTTGTCCTTGACTTTCCACCATTCGTTTAGTGACCAAAGTTACAACGGCCCTGAAAAAAGTGATTAATGACCATTTTTCACTCTTACGACCGTTGCATCATCCCCGTGGTCATGTGACGCTTGGTAACTGACTCATACTTACGGCCTTGGCTGTGTCCTGGGCTCACGTGATCCCTTTTTGCGCCCAGCGACGTCCAGGGGGAAGCTAGATTCACTTAACAACGGTGTTACTAACTCATCAAATGCAGTGATTCACTTACCAACGGTGGCAAGAAAGGTCGTAAAATGGGGCGAAACTTCAATGTCTCACGTAGCAACAGAAATCTCAGGCTCCATTGCAGTGGTGGAATTCAAATTTTTTCCCTACTGGTTCTGTGGGCGTGGCAGGGGAAGGATACTGCAAAATCCCCATTCCCACCCCACTTGGGGGCCAGCCAGAAGTGGTTTTTGCCGGTTCTCCGAACTCAAAATTTCCGCTACCGGTTCTCCAGAACCTACTGGATTTCACCCCTGCTCCATTGTGGTCATAAATCGAGGACTACCTGTATTACTCTTGCCCTGGCGACTGGGGGATTCTGGGAGTTGAAGTCCACGCATCTTCCAAGTGGCCAAATTTGAGAAACATTGTTCTTTGTAGATCTTACTGAGTCGATTTATACAGTTAGTTCTCAGCTTCCCTGCCTTAAGCAGGGGGTTGGACTAGAAGACCTCCAAGGTCCCTTCCAAACTCTGTTATTCTATTCTATTTAACTTAGAAGCTTTTCTTTAGCGGCCATTCAAAGTTGCCGCAGCACTGAAAAAATTTTAACTTACGACCCATTTTTCACACCTAACGATTGTTTGCATCATGTGATCAAATTTTGGGCACTTGGCAACTGGCATGTACTTATGACTGTTGCAGCCTCCCTTGGTCACGTGATTTCTGTTTGTGATTTCCCCCCCCTTTCCCCAAGCCAGCTTCCAACAAGCAAAGTCCGTCCGAGAAAACCCCCAATTTTCTTTGATTCATTTAACAATCTCAGTGATTCATTTAGCGACAGTGGCAATATATATATATGTAGGTCTTTGGTTATTTGGGTTTCCTCCTCTTGGCGACGTTTCGACAAAGTTTCATTCGTCATCTTCAGACTGTTGTTTTCGGCTTCGTGCTTCTAGGAGCAATGTGTGTGATCACAGCTGTTTCTTCCTTTTAACTGCCAGTGGGGGTGTGAACTGATTGGGTGGGAGCTTGGTTGTGTTCTGATTGGGTGGAGGTGTGTTCTGATTGGTTGGGGGCTTGGCTGTGCTCTGATTGGATGTGGGGTTGGATCTGCTCTGATTGGCTGGGGGTGTGTTCTGTTTAGGTAGGGGCTTGGTTGTGCTCGGGTTAGTCTGAGTTGCAGGGGGATTTGAGCTGGTGAGCTGCGTTGCTGTTTGGCTTCGGGTTTGTGGTCGTGCCACATCTTCATGGTGGGTGTCAGTTTGCTTCGTGAGCAACGCTTCGTGAGCAACGCAACTCATTTTCTTGCTGGAAAAAAGATCTAGAGAAAAGAAGGACTGGGAGTGGCATGATAGCAGCATTCCAGTATTCGAGGGGCTGCCCCAAAGAAGAGGGAGTCAAGCTATTCTCCAAAGCATCAAAAGGCAGGAGAAGAAACAACGGATGGAAACTCATCAAGGAGAGAAGCAACTTGGAATTAAGGAGGAACTTGCTGACAGTGAGGACAATTAACCAGTGGAACTGCTTGCCACCAGAAGTCGTGGACGCTCCATCACTGGAGGTGTTGTAAGAAGAGACTGGACAGCCACTTGTCTGAGATGATATAAGGTCTTCTGCTTGAGCAAAGCGTTGGACTAGAAGACCTCCAAGGTCCCTTCCAACTCTGTTGTGTTATATTCTGTTCAAACATACAGTATGAAGGACAGTTGAAGGAATTGGATATGTCTAGTTTAATGAAAAGAAGGACTGGGGGGACAGGATAGTAGTATTTGAGGGGCTACCATAAAGAAGAGGGAGTCAACCTGTTCTTCAAAACATGAAAAGGCAGGACAAGAAGCAACGGATGGAAACTCATCAAGGAGAGAAGCAACCTGGAATTAAGGAGAAACTTCCTAACGGTGAGGACAATTAACCAGTGGAACAGCTTGCCACCAGAAGTTGTGAATGCTCCAACACTGGAGGTTTTTAAGAAGAGATTGGACCACCATTTGACATGGAGTAAGGTCTCCTGGTTGTGCAGAGGGCTGGACTAGAAGACCTCCAAGGTCCCTTCTGGCAGGGGGAGGTGTCTTGGACACCGTCCCGTCCCCTCTCCCAGCTTCTTCTTGCAAAACTGAATCAATTCAAAAGGCAGCGACGGCAAGTATTAAAAACGACGGAATCTGCTGTTCACACTTGGTGCCGAAAAGCACCTCCGATGGTGTCCTTCTTGCGTTTTTTGTTTTGGCTGCCCAGCTTTCCGATCGGGATCAATTATTCATGATCCCCCGTTAAGTTGTTGGACGGATTAATAATTGAGCAGGCCAAAGTACTCGGCACTCCCGAAAAACTGTCGGTTCTAATCATTTTGATGGTCCAGATCTCTGGCCTCGCTTTGGGTGGCCAGGAAAATCTGCCCCAATTTTCTTTTCCCCTCCTTTTTTTTCTGACTCCCTGGGGCTCTGGCTTTTTTTAAATTTTTTAATTTGATTTGATTTATATGCCGCCCTTCTCCGGAGACTCAGGGCGGCTTACGATGCGTTAAGCAATGGCCTTCATCCTTTTGTATATTTATACAAAGTCAGCTTATTGCCCCCACAAACTGGGTCCTCAATTTACCTACCTTAGAAAGGATGGAAGGCTGAGTCAACCTTGAGCCTGGGGAGATTCGAACCTGCAGTAATTGCAGGCAGCTGGTGTTAATAACAGGGTGCTTTAGACCACTGTACTACCAAGGCTCTCCATGGGACCACTGCTGGTCCATGAAAAAATTTTAGTGGTCCTGCAGAAAAATTATCTGCATTTTTTTATATTGCAGTAAATACTATTTATCTTTTTAAAAAAATTCATATCGGTGGTCCGCAGGATTTAAAATTATGAATTTAGTGGTCCCTGGGGTCCGAAAGGTTGGTGACCCCTGTTCTATTCCAACCCCCTCCTCAAGCAGGTGACCCTATACCATGCCAAGCAAACAATTGTCCAGTCTCTTCTTCAAAACCTCCAGTGATGAAGGACCCTGTCAGCACTTCAACCTGCATTTACTCTAGTGCTGACATAAGGAGGAGAAGAGGGGGGCAGCTGGCAAGAGGACGCTTGACTTTTCACCTACTTATTTTCCCTGAAGATAATATCCCCTAGGAGATGGGATGGGAGGGGGGACATTCCTGGGAGCTGAAGTAGTAGATATGGGGAGAGTGATTTGGAAGATGGCCAATGAGACGCAGAGAATTGGGGAACGGAAAGGGAAGGTTTGGGGGTCAGGAAGTCAGTGTTGGCTTCGACATAATCGGGGACAGATTGTCGTGCTTAATAAATGAAAGATTTCATCAAAGACTATCTGTTTGGAAAATGCAATTTATTTGAGACGACGTCGAAACCTGACACACCCACAACTTCTGGTGGCAAGCAGTTCCACTGGTTCTAACTGTCAAGATATTTCTCCTTAGTTCCAGGTTGCTTCTCTCTTTGATAAGGTTCCATCTATTGCTTCTTGTCCTGCCTCCTCCTCCTCCTCCTCCTCCTCCTCCTCCTCCTCCTCCTCCTCCTCCTCCTCCCTGCAAACCCCACTCCATTCTAGCACTGATGATATTACCTAGCTTGGTAATGAAACATTTGCAAGCATACTAGCAAACCTAGAGAAAACCAAGGATCCCTCAATCAAGGGAGAAATCCAGCAGGTTCTGGAGAACCGATAGCGGAAATTTTGAGTAGTTTGGAGAACCGGCAAATACTACCTCTGACTGGCCTCAGAATGGGGAGGGAATGGAGATTTTGCAATATCCTTCCCCCAGGAGTGGGGAGGAAATGGGGATTTTGCAGTATCCTTCTCCTGCCACACCCACCAAGCCACACCACGCCCACCAAGCCACGCCCACAGAACCAGTAGTAAAAAAAATCTGGATTTCACCACTGCCCTCAATCCTCCTCCTCCTCCTCTCCTCAAACCCCACTCCCTTCCAGCAGTGATGATGTTACCTAGTTGGGTCATGAAAGGTCTACAAGAAAACAGCCAATCTCAGGGAGCACCAAGGACCCACAGTCTTCTTCCTCCCACCTCCACAAACACCTCTCCCTGCTAATATTGATGGCATTACCTAGTTCGGTATTGTAACATCTGCAAGAAAACAACCCAGCTCAGAGAGCACCAAGGACCCCCCAATCTCTTCCTCCTCTTCCTCCACAACCCCCACTCCTTTCTACCTAGTAACTGATGGCTTTACCAAGTTGGACTATGAAAAGTCCGCAAGAAAACCACAAAGCTCAGAGAGAACACCCAGGACCCCTCATAAGTTAATTTTGGCCAAGTGTGTTATGCAAACACAGCCTTTGTTTAGACTGCAAACTCTCTTTGGATGTCTTGCCTATATTTATATATAAATGGTGGGAGCAGGTGTGAAAACGACTTTAAATACTCCAAATTGTGAACAAGCTTCAAACTCCCCTTACAACCAGCAGCTTATTTCTCGTTTACCGATGTGGAAAACTCAAGGTTCTCCCAAAAGGAAAAAAAAAAAAAAGGAAAGCTAACTGAGTGGTCTCTTTTCTGTACAGGGAGTCCTCGACGTGCAACCTCCCCCCAGCCGAGCCCCAAATTTCAGTTGCTAAACGAGACGTTTGTTAAGTGAATTTTGCCTCATTTCACCACCTTTCTTGCCACAGTTGTGAAGTTAGTCCCACGGTTTTGAAGTGAATCTGGACTCTAGAAAGAGTGCAGAGAAGAGCAACCAAGAGGATTAACGGACTGGAAGTTAAGACAGAGGAAGAACGGTTACAGGAACTGGGCATGGCTAGTCTAGTGAAGAGAAGGACCAGGGAAGACATGATAGCAATCTTCCAATATCTCAGGGGTTGCCCCAAAGAAGAGGGGGTCAAATTATTCTCCAAAGCACCAGAAGGCAGGACAAGAAGCAACAGGTGGAAACAAATCAAGGAGAGAAGCAGAATAGAATAGAGTAGAGTAGAGTAGAGTAGAGTAGAAATAAGGAATAGAATAGAATAGAATAGAATAGAATAGAATAGAATAGAATAGAATAGAATAGAATAATAGAACAGAACAGAACAGAGTAGAGTAGCGTAGAGTAGAGTAGAGTAGAAGTAAGGAATAGAATAGAATAGAATAGAATAGAATAGAATAGAATAGAATAGAATAGAGTAGAGTAGAGTAGAGTAGAGTAGATAGAGTAGAGTAGAGTAGAGTAGAGTAGAGTAGAGTAGAGTAGAAATAAGGAATAGATAGAATAGAATAGAGTAGAGTAGAGTAGAGTAGAGTAGAGTAGAGTAGAGTAGAGTAGAGTAGAAATAAGGAATAGATAGAATAGAATAGAGTAGAGTAGAGTAGAGTAGAGTAGAGTAGAGTAGAGTAGAGTAGAAATAAGGAATAGATAGAATAGAATAGAGTAGAGTAGAGTAGAGTAGAGTAGAGTAGAGTAGAGTAGAGTAGAAATAAGGAATAGATAGAATAGAATAGAGTAGAGTAGAGTAGAGTAGAGTAGAGTAGAGTAGAAATAAGGAATAGAATAGAATAGAATAGAATAGAATAGAATAGAATAGAATAGAATAGAATAGAATAGAATAGAATAGAATAGAATAACAGAGTTGGAAGGGACCTTGAAGGTCTTCTAGTCCAACTCCCTGCCCAGGCAGGAAACCCTACACCACTTTAGACAAATCGTTATCCAATCTCTTCTTAAAAATTTCCAGTGTTGGAGCATTCACAACTTCTAGTGGCAAGCTGTTCCACTGATTAATTGTTCTAACTGTCAGGAAATTTCTCCTTACTTCTCTAGGTTGCTTCTCTCCTTGGTTAGTTTCCATCCATTGTTCCTTGTCTGGCCTTCAGGTCCCTTGGAGAATAGCTTGACCCGCAAATCTTCTTTGGGGCAGCCCCTGAGATATTGGAACACTGCTATCATGTTTCTCTTAGTCCTTCTTTTCATCAGACTAGACATCCCCAATTCCAGCAACTGTTCTTCATATGTTTTAGCCTCCAGTCCCTTAATCCTCTTTCTTGCTCTTCTCTGCACTCTTTCTAGAGTCTCCATATCTTTTTTCCATCGTGGCGACCAAAACTGAATGCAGGATTCCAAGTGTGGCCTTACCAAGGCCTTATAAAGTGGTATTAACCCTTCATGTGGTTTTAAAGTGGTATTAACACTTCAAGCAACCTGAAATTAAGGAGAAACTTTCATGCAGTGAGGACAATTAACCAGTGGAACTGCTTGCCTCCAGAAGTTGTGGGTGCTCCATCACTGGAGGTTTTCAAGAAGAGCTCGGACAGCCATTTAACTAGGATGGTATGAGACTCCTGCTTTGAGAAGAGGGTTGGGCTAGAAGACCTCCAAGGTCCCTTCCAGCCCTAGCATTCTATCCATCTGCAGATGTGGGAAAATACATCATCTTTGGATTTGCTGTATGCATGCATGCATGGCTGGTTACCTGCATAATCTCTCTCTCTCTCTCTCTCTCTCTCTCTCTTCCCCCCCCCCCTCCCTCCCTCCCTCTCCCTCTCTCTCTCCCTCCACTATTTCTGCTGATGGAGGAACTGACCATGAGCCAAGAGGCCGGAGCAGGGCGTGGAAGCCCACACCCCCACGGATCTTCATCCGGTTGCTGCAATAATTCAAAAACTGGCTTGCTTGCTGAATTTTCTCATTCGGCAGAAAGAAGCCATTGGGACTCTGGCCAAGTGTCCCGTCCACCCCTCCCCATCTCATCCATCCCCTGATAGATTATGCTGCTTACTCAGGAGAAGTGTTGCATTTCTTGGGAGGAGGACGGACGGTCGAAGCTGGCTACATTGAACTGCATAAGCTTGCTTTTATTTTATTTATTTATTTATTTATTATTTTGCTCTAATTTATATGCCACCCTTCTCCGGAGACTCAGGGCGGCTTACAATGCGCTAAGCAATAGCCTTCATACTTTTGTATATTTATAGAAAGTCAGCTTATTGCCCCCACAATCTGGGTCCTCATTTTACCTACCTTTGAAAGGATGGAAGGCTGAGTCAACCTTGAGCCTGGTGAGATTCGAACTTGCAGTAAATGCAGGCAGCTGGTCTTAATAACAGGGTGCTTTAGACCACTGTGCTACCAAGGCTTTTTTATCAGGGTTGGCAGCTGGGTAAGCCTGCATTGGGCTAGCATCACCCAACTTGGAAGCCAAGATCAAAGGAAGCCGCATGGGTTAGTGCAAGGAGTACAGTGTGTGTGTGTGTATGAGAGAGAGAGAATCCTAATTTGCTGGAGAAGGGGTTGGACTAGACAACCTCTGAGAGTCCTTCCAACTCTGTTATTCTCTATACTCTGCTGTATTTATGGTTCCTTGAAAGAGCCTCTTACCAATAAGGAGAATATCTGTAGCTCAGGATTGAAATGAGGAATAATTAGTGCTCTCTGAACTTGGTGGGTTCCTTGTAGACTTTTCGTGACCCAACTAGGGAACATCATCAGTAGTGGAAGGGAGTGGGGTTTGCAGGGAGGAGGAGGAGGAGGAGGAGGAGGAGGAGGACAAGGACAACAACTATGGGGTCCTTGGAACTCCCTGAGTTTAGTTATGTTCTTGTAGACATTTCATTACCCAGCTAGGGAACATCATCAATGCTAGAAGGGAGTGGTGTAAAAAAGCAGAAAAAAGCAGAAAGGAAGAAGAGGAAGAGGAATAAGAGGAAGGAGAGGAGGACTCTAGGGTCCTTGGTGCTCTCTGAGCTTGGTGGTTTTCTTGCAGACGTTTCGTGACCCAACTAGGGAACATCATCAGTGCTAGAAGGCAGAGGGGGGTTCCTTTTTATTTAATTACCAAGAAGAAATCATGTTCCCTCCATCACTAACAGGGCAAGTCACTTGTGTATAAACAGAGAGCAAACCCCACTCTCCTTTCTAGAAAACAACCAAGCTTATAAAGCACCAAGGACCCCACAGTTGGCCTCCTCTTCCTCCACTCCACACTCCCACCCGCTTTCTAGTACTGATGATGTTATCTAGTTGGGTAGTGAAATGTCTTCAAGAAGACCACCCAGCTCAGAGAGCGCCAAGGACCCTTTACAAGCCACTTAACCATCAATCATGGTTGATTCACAAGCTGGGATTTGGAAACCCAGCCAGGCAACCTAGATCAGAGGTCTTCAAACTTGGCAGCTTTAAGACTTGTGGACTTCAACTCCCAGAATTCTCCAGCCAGCGCGGTGGTCCCAAGTATGAGGACAGGTTGTAAGTTACTTTTTCCAGCACCATCGTAATTTCAAACTGTCGTTAAACGAATGGCCGTAAGTCGAGGACTACCTGTATTTCCAAACTACAAGCAAGAAGCAGAACGTTGGTGACCTTTGACACCCCCTCCCCAAACAGCTGAATATTACTCACCCCATTGTTGGGACCCACGTGTTGTTCGGCGATGCCCAGGAAGGACTGCAGTGGGGTTTTGCCACCTGCAAGAGACGAAAGCTGTAAAAACGGGGGATTTTGAATTTGTGGGTGGCACATCTGGGGCACAACAGAGTGGTGGGGTGGCCTAGAGGTGTCTGTCTGTCTGTCTGTCTGTCTATCTATCATCTATCTCTATCATCTATCTATCTATCTATCCATCCATCTCTCTCTCTCTCTCTCTCTCTCTCTATTAATTCATCCATCCATCTATATCTCTATCTATCTCTATCTATTATCTCTCACTCTCTCTTTATCATCTACCTACCTACCTACCTACCTACCTACCTACCTACCTCTATTAATCCATCCATCCATCTCTCTTTCTCTCTGTCTATCTATCTATCTATCATCTATCTATCTAATCTATCTATCTATCTATCTCTCTCTCTCTCTCTCTCTCTCTCTTTCTATCTATCTATCTATCATCATCTATCTATCTATCTATCTATCTATTAATCCATCCATCCATCCATCTCTCTCTCTCTGTGTCTATCAATCATCTATCTATCTATTAATCCATCCATCTCTCTCTCTCTCTCTCTCCCCCTCTCTTTCTATCTATCTATCTATCTATCTATCTATCTATTAATCCATCCATCCATCCATCTCTCTCTCTCTGTGTCTATCAATCATCTATCTATCTCTCTCTCTCTCTCTCTCTCTCTTTCTATCTATCTATCAATCATCTATCTATCTATCTATCTATCTATTAATCCATCTCTCTCTCTCTCTCTCTCTCTCTTTCTATCTATCTATCAATCATCTATCTATCTATCTATCTATCTATCTATCTATCTATCTATCTATCTATCTCTATCTCTCTATTGGTCCATCCATCGATCCATCCATATCTCTATCTATGTCTATTATCTCTCTCTCTCTCTCTCGATCCATCCATCCATCTATATCTCTATCTATCTCTATCTATTAAACAGATTAACAGAGTTGGAAGGGACCTTATAGGACTAGATGACCTATAATATAGGTCATCTAGTCCAACCCTCCGCCCAAGCAAGGAGACCCTACACCCTTTATGACAGAGGACAGTCCAGTCTCTTCTTGAAAGCCTCCAGTGATGAAGCTCCCACAACTTCCGAAGGCAACTTCTCTTCCATGGGTTGAGCTATCTCTCTCTCTCTTATCTCTTCTGTTGTTGTTAGTGGCGGAGTCGTGTCCGACCCACCGCGACCCCCCTGGACAACGTTCCTCCAATCCTTCCTGTCCTCCTACCATCCTCTGGAGTCCACTGAAGCTCACGCCGACTGCTAAACCGATGTTTTAAAATAGGAGGAACGATTGCAGCTCCTTCGTAAATTGCAAACTGAAATGGCAGAATAACTCAGCAAGCAAAAATCCAGATTTTTGGTCGAAAATATAGAACTTCTCACCTTTAGTTTTTCCTTTGTGCTGCTCGGAAAGGTGTCCGGTCCGTGTCCGGGTGATGAGTTCTACATTGGAAGCCCCATAAACCTGTTGACCAAGGGACAGACGGTACGTTTCCTCAGCGTCCTCACCTGAGGCCCCTCCCTGCCCCTCTTCCCATCAACTTCTCAAGCTTCTAGTCCTCAGTATCACACCTTGGCTTCGTACCCGTTCACCACCTCGGTCTTTTCGCTCCTCCAGCCTAAAATACCCGTCTTGTTCCTGGCAGGCAGAGAAAGAGAGAGAGAGAAGAAATCAGTGGGAGAATGACAGGCACTCCTCGACTTATGACCCCAACTGAGCCCAGGATTTATGAAATTTCTTAAGTGAGTTTTGCCCCGTTTTACGACTTCTCTTGCCACCGTTGATAAGCGAATCACTGCAGGTGTGTTAAATTAGTGACACATGACTTTTTAAGCGAATCTGGCTTCCCCGTTGACTTTGCTTGTCAGACAGTCGCAAAAGGGGATCATGTGACCCTGGGATGCTGCGACCGTCATAAATATGAGCACTCAAACAGCACTCCTACCTAGTTAGGGTAATGAAACGTCGGGAAGAAAACAATCAAGCTCAGAGAGCACCAAGGACCCCTCAAATATGAGCCAGTTGCCAAGCAATGGTCATAAGTGTGAAAAAAACGGTCCTAAGTCACTTTTTTCAATGCCGTCGTAACTTCGAACGGTCACTAAACGAACTGTCGTAAGTCGAGGACTACCTGTATTTTTTTTTTTAATCCGAATGTGTCATAGGTGGTCCTTGACTTACGACCATAATGGAGCCTGCCCATCACAGGGTCCATTGACAGTTGTAAAGCGAATGCCCCAGTTGTAAAGCAGCCACCGCATTCATTCAAATGAATCAATTGGGCGCAATTGTCCCAAAAAGCAAAAATTATTCCCCGTTTTCAGCAAAACCATCATAAAACGTGATCATATGACAGAAGGAGGAAGAGGAGGAAGAAGAGGAGGGAGGAGGATTGTGGGGTTCCTTGGTGGTCTCTGAGCTTTTGTGTTTGCAGACGTCTCATGACCCAACTACGTAATGGCATCAACGCTAGAAAGGAGCAGGGTTTGCGGGGAAGAGGAGGAGGAAGAGGAGGAGGACTGTGGGGTACTTGGTGCTCCCTTAGCTTGGTGGTTTTTCTTGCAGAAATTTCATTATCTATCTATCTATCTATCTATCTATCTATCATCTATCTATCTATCTATCATCTATCTATCTTATCTATCTAATCTATCTATCTATCTTATCTATCATCTATCTATCTCTATCTATCTATCTATCTATCATCTATCTATCTATCTATCATCTATCTATCTTATCTATCTAATCTATCTATCTATCTTATCTATCATCTATCTATCTTATCTATCTATCTATCTATCATCTATCTATCTATCTATCATCTATCTATCTATCTATCTATCTATCTATCTATCTAATCATATTTCTATGCCGCCCACTCTCCGAGGACTCTGGGTGGCTTACAACAATCGACAGTATACTAAATAGCCTATTGCCCCCCAACAATCTGGGTCCTCATTTTACCCACCTCGGAAGGACGGAAGGCTGAGTCAACCTTGAGCCGGTGAGATTTGATCCGCTGATCTGCTGAACTAGCAGTCAGCTGAAGTAGCTGCAGTACTGCACCCTAACCGCTGCACCACCTTGGCTCTATATAGGTAACGTCATCACTTCAATAAGCAGGTTAGGTGTCCTTTGGTGAACCTCAAGTTAGTCAGCAAAGCCAGGTCTCACGCTCCAGTCCAGGAAAGTGAGGGGCTGCCCCATCTGTATAAATTGCACCCCTGCCCTCTTGATTTTGTTGAGATCCCTCCCCACCATCAATTATTTTATTTATTTATTTAATTAAATTTCTATACCGCCCTTCTCCCGAAGGACTCAGGGCGGTGAACAGCCACAAGAGAAAACACAGAAGTACAAAAATTTAAAATAGATTAAAAACGAATTAAATAATTTGGCTGAATTTTAAAATACCCCATAATTTAAAACAGATTAAAATTTGTATTTAAAATTTATATTTAAAAGGGGAGAAGATTTAGGCCAGGCCAGCTTGATGAAATAAAAAAGTCTTAAGCGCGTGACGGAAGGTGCGCAGATCCGGGATCTTCCGTATCTCCGGGGGGAGCTCGTTCCAGATCGTAGGTGCCCCCACAGAGAAGGCCCTCCCCCTAGGGGCCGCCAGTCGACATTGTTTGGCCGACGGCACCCGGAGGAGCCCCTCTCTATGGGAGCATACCAATGGCCCTGGTCCATCCGTTGATGCCACCATGCCTAGTGTTTTGAACCCTCCTTCCAGGACACCCCGCGCGCACCTTCCCCATACCTCTCGAAGGCAATATTGCGCATGTCCAGATGCGTGGCGACCACGGGGGCCATCAGGCGCCCCATCACCTGCTCCTCGGTGGGCTGCATGGCCGCGAGGATGGTCTCCTGGTCGTGGGTAGCCAGCGCCAGCGTTTCGGAGTATACCACCTGCCGGTTGTGATCCACCTCCATGAACACCGCACTCGTATCTGAAGAAAGAAGGAGGAGGGAAGAGAAGAGATGAATCATCATCTTATTAGTCCAAACATTAAAAGCAGCCTCATCTGATAAGTCTTTCAAGGAAGCCCCTTCCCAGAAGCATAATCCCATTGGCCCAAATATTGAAAGCAGTCTTGTCTCATAAGTCTTTCAAGGAAGCTCCTTCACAAGAAGCATCATCTGATTGGTCCAAATATTGAAAGCAGCCTCATCTCATAAGTCTTTCAAGGAAGCTCCTTCCCCAGAACAATAATCCCATTGGTCCAAATATTGAAAGCAGCCTTGTCTCATAAGTCTTTGAAGGAAGCCCCTTCCCCAGAACAATCATCCCATTGGTCTAAATATTGAAAGCAGCCTTGTCTCATAAGTCTTTGAAGGAAGCTCCTTCACAAGAAGCATCATCCGATTGGTCCAAATATTGAAAGCAGCCTCATCTCATAAGTCTTTGAAGGAAGCTCCTTCCCCAGAACAATAATCCCATTGGTCCAAATATTGAAAGCAGCCCCGTCTCATAAATCTTTGAAGGAAGCTCCTTCCCCAGAACAATAATCCCATTGGTCTAAATATTGAAAGCAGCCTTGTCTCATAAGTCTTTGAAGGAAGCTCCTTCACAAGAAGCATCATCTGATTGGTCCAAATATTGAAAACAGCCTCATCTCATAAGTCTTTGAATGAAGCTCCTTTGCGAAAAGCATCATCTGATTGGTCCAAACACTGAAAGCAGCCTCATCTCATGAGTCTTTGAAGGAAGACCATCTTGGCAACCTGAAGATCTGTGGACTTCAGCACCCAGATTTCCCCAGCCAGCATGGAGGATTCTGGGGGTTGAAGTCCACCCCTCTTAATTCATGGCTGACTAGGGAATTCTGGGATTTGAAGTCCAAACCTCTTAAACCATGCTGGCTGGGGAATTCTGGGAGTGGAAGTCATCGTCCCCCATCTTAAAGCAAGTGGGCTGGGGAATCCTGGGAGCTGAAGTCCACCCCTCTTAAAGCATTAAGAGTTGGCAACAGATCTCTCTACCTGAAGTAGAGAGCTCTGTTGCCAACTCAGCACAACTCTGCACCTCCTTAAAGCAGCCTGTTCAATCCCTGGTTCTGCAGGGAAATGAAAAACATTGCAGCTGCTTTAAATGGCCTAAACCCTGAAAGCAAGATATTTTAATGAGCTTCTTAAAGCAACGGCACCTTTTTTGCCGAACAGAAGGAAAACATTTTCTCCAGCAAAAAAGAAAAAGAAAACACGGTTGCTTTGATGAGCCACCGAGAAGTGTCAATTTCAATCGTTTTCCCCTACCTTGGCCCCGGAAGATGAAGCTGTGATTTCCACGCTGCCACGTCATGTGGTCGAACCCCAGTAACGTGGTGTCCACTCGCAGGTTCTGCCCACACTTCCACACCTTGTATGTGTCGCTGGGGCAAATCTTGGAGACCAAGGGAACTGTTTGAAAAAATAGAATGCAGAAGAGAAACTAAGGCAGTGTTTCTCAACCTTGGAAGCTTGAAGAGGGGTGGACTTCAACTCCCAGAATCCCCCAGCCAGCAGCGCTGGCTGGGGGATTCTGGGAGTTGAAGTCCACCCTCTTCAAGCTTCCAAGGTTGAGAAACACTACTGAACTAAGGTGATCAAAGGACTGGAGGCCTAAACATCTGAAGAACAGCTGTGGAATTTGGGTCTGGCCGGTCTAGAGAAAAGAGAAATTAGAGGTGACATGATAGCAATATTCCAGTATTTGAGGGGGCTGCCATAAAGAGGAGAGGGTCAGTTTATTCTCCAAAGCACCTGAAGGCAAGATAAGAAACAATGGTTGGAAACTAATCAAGGAGAGAAGCAACCTGGAATTAAGCAGAAACTTCCTAACAGTGAGGACAATTAACCAGCGGAACAGCTGGCCACCAGAAATTGTGGGTGCTCCAACACTGGAGGTTTTTAAGAAGAGATTGGACAGCTACCTGTCTGAGATGATATAGGATCTCCTGCTGAGCAGAGGGCTGGACTAGAAGACCTCCAAGGTCCCTTCCAGATCATTCATTCTATTCATTCTCTCTTTCATTCTATATGCCGTCCATCTCGGTGTCGAAGAGATTCTGGGTGGCTTATTCAATTTATCATGCCCCTGGAATTAGGTCCTTCCCCTACTCTCTGAGCAGCCGTGTTCTCTGCCCCAGAAAAGTAGGTACATTGGGAAGAGGAGGGGAGGGGGGGAGTCAAAAAAGTCAAGATGGCTGACATGTCTGCAGAATCGAAGCCCCACCCGTTTACGATGCATTCAACAACGTAAAGACGAGGAGGCTTTGCAAATTTTGGATTATCTTGACTTTTTCTAATCCTGCAAATGCCCCTGGGGGGGGGTTGCTTAAGGGGAGGGTTGGTTTTTCCACTGGGGGGGGGGCAGACAGATGACAGCCCGTTCCCAATTGGGGATTTGTTTGCTTTCTTTCGGCATGCCAACGTACCCCAACTCGTGAATTCCCACTTCATCTCCACGTAGAAATCTTGAGCCTGCAGCAACGAGAAAACGAAAGAGTTGGGAGGGAGGGTTAAATACAGGGGGGGGTCCTTGACATATGACCACCATCGAGGCCAAAATTTATGTTGCTAAGTGAGAAATTTGTTAAGCGGGTTTTGCCCCATTTTACGACTTCATAACCATTTTTTTAGTGACTTTGAAGTTGCGAAAAAGTGACTTATGACCATTTTTCACACTTACGACCATCGCAGTATTCCCCAGTCACACGATCAAAATTCAGACACTCGGAAACTGACTTGTATTTATGACGGTTGCATTTTCTGGAGGGGGGGAGGGGTTTCGTGTGATTCCCTTTTGCGACTTTCTGACAAGCAAAGTCAATGGGGAAGAAGCCAAATTCACTTAAACAACCATTTTACTGATTTAAAAACTGTACGATTCACTTAACAACAGTGGCAAGAAAGGTTGTAAAATGGAGTAAAACTCACTTAAATGGTTCACTTAGCGACATAAAGGTTGAGCTCCATTTTGGCCGTAAGTTGAGGACTAACTGTATCAGCCCTTCAAGACACATGGCTCTCTGCTGAATGGTTAGGAAGGGGAAAGAAATACAGTTATTAAAGTTATGAATGGAACCTTTTCTGGAGCTTTTATTAAGAACTGGCAGCAAGAAACATTAAGGTTATAAAAAGAAGCTGCCCAAAATCTCACTTCCAATTTAACTTTCCTTTATTTATTAATCTGTTTATTTATTCATCAGTTCTTACGTTCCGTTGAGTTCTCAGATACGACGGGCAAATTCCAAACCCACAAGGTGCCATTAAAAAGGCCACCAATAAAACCGATCATGATTAAATAAATGAATTCATATTACTAAGATAATCCTTGATTTACGACGGTTAGATCATACTAAGAATAAGATTTATTTATTTATTTATTTATTTATTTTATTTCATTATTTCATTTCATTATTTTATTTTATTTTATTTTATTATATTATTATATTATATTATATTATATTATATTATATTATATTATATTATATTATTTTATTTTATTTTATTTTATTTTATTTTATTTTATTTTATTTTATTTTATTTTATTTTATTTTATTTTATTTTATTTTATTTTATTTTTCTATGCTGCCCTTCTCTGGAGACTAAGGGCGGCTTACAATGCGTTAAGCAATAGCCTTCATACTTTTGTATATTTTATACAAAGTCAGCTTATTGCCCCCACAAACTGGGTCCTCAATTTACCTACCTTAGAAAGGATGGAAGGCTGAGTCGACCTTGAGCCTGGTGAGATTCGAACTCGCAGTAATTGCAGGCAGCTGGATGTTAAATGCTGCCTTAATAGGAGGCATTAGCCTCCTACGCCACTCAGGCTCCTATGGGATGCTATGAAATGTTATGTATATAACAGGGCTCAGCGGTTGAAAACACTGAGCTTCTCAGATGGAAAGCTTGATAGGCCACGTTCGAGACCCGAACATTGCGAGACAGGGTGAGTTCCCGTTCCTTGCTGAAGCTCCTGCCCACCTAGCAATTCAAAATCTTTTAAAATCTACTTTCAATGACCCCATAATCCAGTGTTTCTCAACCTTGGTAGCTTGAAGATGGGTGGACTTCAACTCCCAGAATCCCCTAGCCAGCAGCGCTGGCCGGGGGATTCTGGGAGTTGAAGTCCACCCATCTTCAAGCTTCCAAGGTTGAGAAACACTGCCATAATCCCTTGCGGTGCGGAGTCTGGCCAACTGAATGGAGCTGAATGTTTACTGGCCGGATGCCCTTCCTGTTGCCAATGAGGAGTTTTTTTTCAGCAGATATATTCTCATCGTGCCCAGAGAGAGAAATATCTGCCTCTCTAGGATCGAATTCACAGCCTCCTGATTGTGAGGTGAGAGCTCCACCTTTAGGCCACCGCACCACTCTTCGAAAGCATGTAAATGCGAGTAGATAAATAGGTACCCCGAAAATAAGACCGCGTCTTATATTAATTTTTGCTCCAAAAGACGCATTAGGGCTTATTTTCTGATTAGGTCTTATTTTGGGAAAATGCAATCTTAAAAGTTAAAGGTTCCCCTCGCACGTATGTGCTAGTCGTTCCCGGCTCTAGGGGGCGCTGCTCATCTCCGTTTCAAAGCCGAAGAGCCAGCGCTGTCCGAAGACGTCTCCGTGGTCATGTGGCGGCATGACTCAACGCCAAAGGCGCACGGAACGCTGTTCCCTTCCCACCAAAGGTGGTCCCTATTTTTCTACTTGCATTTTTTACCTGCTTTCGAACTGCTAGGTTGGCAGAAGCGGGACAAGTCACGGGGACGCACCCGGGATTCACCCCGAGCACTAGGATTGACGCACGCTGTCGATGCTTAGTCGATCGACAAGCTCACGTCTTTAGCCACTGAGCCACCGCGTCCCTGTCAATCTTAACTGGGGCTTATTTGGGGAGGTAGGGTTTATATGACGAGCATCCTGAAAAGTCATGCTAGGACTTATTTTCCGGTTGGGTCTTATTTTCGGGAAAAAGGATACCACTTCGGTGGGAAGGTAACCGCGTTCTGTGTGCCTTTGGGGTTTAGCCATGCTGGCCACACGACCCCCGAAAATGTCTTTGCACAACGCTGGCACCCTTGGCCAAGAAACGGAGATGAGCCCCACCCTCCAGAGTCAGACAGGACGGATAGCGAAACCCTTCCCTTTTTATATTTGAAACCACAGGTAGTCCTCGACTTACAATGATTCATTTAGTGACCGTTCAAAGTTACAACGGCAACTGAAAAAAAGTGACTTAGGACCGTTTTTCATACTTACGACCGTTGTGGCATCCCCATAATCAGGTGCTCAAAATTCAGACGGTTGGCAACTGACTTGTATTTATGACGCTCGCAGCGTTTCCCAGTCACGTGATCTCCTTTTGCCAATGGGGGAGATCAATGGGGGAAGCCATGGATTCACTTAACAACAGTGTTCCCAACTTAACAAATGCAACGGTTCGCTTAACGACCATGGCAAGGAAAGTCGTAAAATAACAGCAAAAAACAAAAAAGTCACTTAAGCCATGGTTCACTCAGCGATGAAAATTTGGGGCTCAGTTGTGGTCGTACGTGGAGGGCTGTACGAGGGGTTTGCAAGAGGTTTACAATCTCAGCAAGGACACAAGGGGAGGACCCCGAAGGGGCGAGGAGGGGGAACTGACCTTCCGTAATTTTTCTAGCAGGACGGGGATCCCGGCCAAACGCTTGATGGCTCGCTGGTAGTCCCGATAACGCAGCACCAGTTGAACTAACTCCAGGTCCTGAGTGCTGACGGCCTCCTGCAACACTGCAACCCGAGAAGGAGATCAGGAAAACCATCCGTCGCCAAACTACACGGTCCTCGACTTACAACCGTTCGCTTAATGACTTTCGTTACAACGGCGGTGCGAAAAAAAAAAAAGTGACTTTGCAATGGGTCCTCGCACTTATGACCGTCGCAGCATCCGCATGGCCACGGGATTAAAATTTGCATGCTTGGTCACCGGAATGTTCAGGCAGTCCTCGACTTACGACGGTTCGCTTAGTGACCGTTCAGAGTTACGCCGGCACCGAAAAAAGTGACTCATGAGCATTTTCCAGATTTACGACCGTTGTAAGCATCCGTGTGGTGACATGATTTTCATTCGGATGCTCAGCAACTGACTCATAGTTATGACAGTCGCAGTGTCCTGGGGTCATGGGATTCCCTTTTGCGACCTTTTGACAAGCAAAATCAACAGGGAAGCCCGATTCACTTAACAACCGTGTTAATAACTTAACAACTGCAGTGATTCACTTAACGACTGTGGCAAGAAAAGTCGTGAAATGGGGCAAAACTGACTGAACGAATATTTGCAAGGGCTGCCCATTTCACGCAAACACACACAACGAAAAGACAAAGCGTTATGTGTATTTTCCAGCAAATGGAAAATACACATAAATGCAAAATCGAAAAGGCCCGCAAATCTTTCGAAAGTATGACCTGGAAGGCACCTTTAAAGATCATCTAGTCCAATGGTTTCCAATTTTGGCCATTTGAAGCCGGATGGACTTCAACTCCCAGAATTCCCCTACAGCTCTCTCAGAGGTCAGAAAATTCCTCCTCAGCTGGAATCTTCTTTCTTTGAGTTGCAAATTTAATTCCTTGGACACTTATTGCTTTTGCAAACAAACCCCTTTTTAGATATTTGCCGTCTTTTATTATGGCTCTTCTCTGTTGCGAGCTCAACATGGCTGCCTCCTAGAACTGGGGTGGCTGGGGAATTCTGGGAGTTGAAGTCCAGCCATCTTCACGTTCCTGAGGTAGAGAAACACGGAGCTGACCAACAAATTGGAATTAAATAATTCTTCTTTCTGTGACCTGTTTTGGATACTTTGGGTAAAATTTCCCAAGAGTCTTCGGAGAGGGGCGGCATTTAAATTGAATTAATTAAATTAAATTAATTAAATTAAAATTAAGATGGCATTAGCCTTTTTAGCTGCTGCATCCGGCTTATGACTCCATTTTATGCTTGTAGCATAAGAGAAGTATTTGGGATTTAATTTCGCATTTATTAATGCTGTTGTTAATGCATTACTGGTATTTAATTGTAGTCCCTGTTTAATTGCATTTAATCAAGGAACCGCCAAGAACATTCTCAATAACACTAACAGGGCAAGAGGTTGGTATATAAACAAGAGATATTTATTTGTATACCTTCGTTTTGGCGCTGATGATGTTACTTAGTTGGGTCATGAAATGTCTGCAAGAAAATCACCAAACTCAGAAACTATAAACCACCCCACAGCTCTCTTTCTCCTCTTCCTCCATTTCTCCTCCTCCTCCTGATGATGTTACCTAGTTGGGTCAAGAAATGTCTGCAAGAAAACCCCTAAACTCAGAGACTATAAACCACCCCACAATCCTCCTCTTCTTCTATCTCACCTCCTCCTCCTCCTCTTCCTCCTTTCTAGCACTGATGATGTTCCCTAGATGGGTCAAGAAACGTCTACAAGGAAACATCCAATCTCAGAGACCCCACAGTCCTCCTCCTCCTCCTTCCTCCTTCCTCCTCCTCCTCCTTTTGTGCTTCCACGTGACCGATTTTCCTTCTCACTTTCATCAGCTAAAACTTTTCTTGGCAAAGTTTACTTCCCACTGTATTTCGGAACCAACTCAATTTCCCCTTTTGGCTTCTAGCTGAATAAGCCACTGTGTTTTGATAACGTCTCCCTCCGAATCAAACAATTACTCATTTTCTTGACAATAGTGAGGCCAGAGGCATCGTTCCAAGAATATTTTCATTTTTTAAAATAATGGCCCTGAAGCCAGCAGCTGCTGACTTTTGGACTAAACTAGTGTTTTTCAATCTCATCAACTTTAAAATATGTGGAGTTCAAATCCCAGAATTCCACAGCCAGCATGCTGGCTGGGGAATTCTGGGAGTTGAAGTCCACCCATCTTCAAGAATGCTGACTACGGAATTCTGGGAATGGAAGTCTACCCCTCTTAAAGCATGCTGGCTGTGGAATTCTGGGAGTGGAAGTCCATTCATCTTAAAGCATGCCGGCTGGGAATTCTGGGAGTTGAAGTCCACCCCTTTTAAAGCATTGCTGGCTGGAGGGATTCTGGGAGTGGAAGTCCACCCCTCTTAAAGCATGCTGGCTGGGGAATTCTGGGAGCGGAAGTCCACTCATCTTAAAGCATGCAGGCTGGGGAATTCTGGGAGTGGAAGTCCACTCATCTTAAAGCATGCAGGCTGGGGAATTCTGGGAGTGGAAGTCCACCCCTCTTAAAGCATGCTGGCTGGGGAATTCTGGGAGCGGAAGTCCACTCATCTTAAAGCATGCAGGCTGGGGAATTCTGGGAGTGGAAGTCCACTCATCTTAAAGCATGCCGGCTGGGAATTCTGGGAGCGGAAGTCCACTCATCTTAAAGCATGCAGGCTGGGGAATTCTGGGAGTGGAAGTCCACTCATCTTAAAGCATGCAGGCTGGGGAATTCTGGGAGTGGAAGTCCACTCATCTTAAAGCATGCCGGCTGGGAATTCTGGGAGTGGAAGTCCACCCCTCTTAAAGCAGGCCGGCTGGGGAATTCTGGGAGTGGAAGTCCATCCCTCTTAAAGCATTGCTGGCTGGGGAATTCTGGGAGTGGAAGCCCACCCATTTTAAAGCATGCTGAGATTGAGGAAGACTGTATTCAAGGCACATCCAATTAATCCATCTTTATTTCAGTTTTTCAGTTTGGAAAGTGCACGTTGAACAGAGCCCATTCGCCAAATCCGTCTGCATGTGTTTCTGGTTTTCACTAGAATGTAATTTTATGGCAGTCAATTGATGGTGGAAAAATGAAAAAAAAAAATCTGGACTGGTTTTGATTCTTTTTAATTCAAAACCGTCCAGTAAACTCCCAACAGAAGTAAAATGGAGTTGGGGGTGGGGTGGGAATAAAAAGGATTAAATTCGTAGTGAGATTAAATTCCCTTTCATTCAAGGCTTTTTAAAGGTAAACCCAGAACTGTCATCATCTCTCCCCATAGTCAACTTTGCAGGGTTAGCGTGAAGGTCTTCTAAAAATGGAGAGCAGGAAAAAAACAGGTCACATAATTAAATTTTGTGGCATCTCATCTCTCTTAAAAAGGACACGTGCTTTCAATTTACTGAACTTTAAAACAATAGCTTTTTCCGGCACAACTTATTTTTAGAAAGAACAGTATTGAATATGGATTTTTTTTCCCCTCATGGATCATTATTTAATGGCGCTTCCTGCTTAATCATTTTTAAACTGTGGGCTATACAGATTAATCCTAGACTTACAAGTGAACCCAAAATTTCCCTTGCTAAGCGAGACATTTGTTAACTGAATTTTGCTTCGTTTTATGACTTTTCTTGCCACGGCTGTTAAGTGAATCTCTGCAGTTGTTATGTTAGTGACACGGTTGTTAAGTGAATCTGGCTTCCCCATTGAGGTCGCAAAAGGGGATCACTGCAAAGTGCCCTGCGAAAGACACTGCAACGGTCATAAATGTGAGTCAGTTGTTAAGTATCTGAATTTTGGTCACAGGACTGTGGGAATGCTGCAACGGTTGCAAATGTGAAAAAATGGTCGTAAGTCACTTTTTTTCAGTGCCAAGTTTTTTTGTAACTTGGAATGGTCACTAAATGAACCGTTGTAAGTCGAGAACGACCTGCGTTGCTTGGTTTGTTAAAAATATATCTATATCAAGAAGGACTGCATGGCTGCGACCCAGAGTTGCCCTAAAACAGAATATAGAAATGAAATATCAGTGAGCTTTGAGGTAGGCAGACGGGGTATTCGTTTTACATATCGGTAGTCCTCGACTTACAACAGTTTATTTACTGACCGGAGTTACGACGGCACTGAAAAAAAGTAACTTACGACCGTTTTTCACACTTATAACCATTCCAGCATCTCTTTAGTCGTGTGATCAAAATGCTTGGAAACTGGCATGTACTTATGACAGTTGCAGAGTCCCGGGGTCACGTGACTCCCTTTTGCGACCTTCTGACAAGCAAAGTCAATGGAGAAGCTGGATTCACTTAACAACTGTGTTATACTAACTCAGAGGTCTTCAAACTTGGCAGCTTTAAGACTTGTGGACTTCAATTCCCAGAATTCTCCAGCCAGCTGGAGAATTCTGGGAGTTGAAGTCCACAAGTCTTAAAGCTGCCAAGTTTGAAGACCCCTATACTAACTTAACAACTGCAGTGATTCGCTTAACAACGGTGGCAAGGAAGGTTGCAAAAAGGGGTAACGCTGACCGAACAAAAGTCTCACTTAGTAACAGACACTTGGGGCGAAATTGTGGTCGTATATCGATGCAGCTACTCCAAATTCACGATTGGTGATAGTCGAGAATCTTAAGTGCAGCCGTTTTCTGTAAAACTTTGCAAACGTTATCGGGGTGTTTTGCAATTATTTTATATTTGATCTAATCTTTGATATTCTTTTGGCTATCTGTAAGAAAAAAAATCCGTCTCAGAACATCTGTTTACAAGATAAAAGTTATTAAGAGTGCTTGAAATGCTTTAGTTTTGGTTTGGAGGAAGGCAAGTTTCTAGTCCCCAGCGCTGAAAGAATGTCGGTGGAACAGGGAGCTCCAGGCTTTTGTCTTTAAATTTAAAGAGCAGAGATTCTTGGAGGAAGGTATTTTAAGGCTGTGACGTAAAAGTATCCTGTTAGAACGGCCTCATACATTTCTCATGAGGGAAATGCATAATTCAGAATGTGGCTCAATAGGAAATTACTCAGCTACTGGGCGGTGGCAAAAAAAGATTAAAGGCAATCCATCCAAAGACGAGATA